TAAGCAGTATCCAAGACGAAGAGGAAATTGTTTTCGAGACATATGGAATGGAACATCTGAATCAGAGGGTGTTAAATTAATGCGTGGGATAAAAGTTCTAGTACCTTTAAATTCACCTGTAATTATTTCACAGTCCAAAACTTTAGGTGAAGTTCTTTTGACCATTAGTCGAGTTCCATTGCATAATCCAATTGTTGGAGACATATTTCTCAGAAGAATAACTATACAACCTTCTTTTAGTATCAATTTGTGTGGTGGTAGTCCAGAGGGAGTGATAGAGTTTAGAAATTCAATCGGGAAATCTTCAGGGTGTTTAACATCAACAGAGTCAATGCTAGTATAAGTTTGAGGTGGACCTGGTAATTGAGAGATGATGTTGTTGTTAATTGGAAATGTATCATCATTGAGAGGTGTTAAAATGGCTCTATTTGCTGCAATTTGAACATTTGAAATATCTTCGATACATGGGAATACGAAATCAGTAATAGAGGTACTTCTAATTAGTTCTGAAGAAAGAAGGATAGAATCAAGTGGTAAAATAGGGTTTTGTGTGTAATTATTTCCATCACCGACTTTTAATAGCCATTCTGCCCAGTCTGGGAACTTGGGGCCAAGCCGCATATTTGTTTGCAATTGAAACTTTCTAAATAGATTCCATAGACTATTCATTTTTACAGATGTGGAAACAATTTGTGCTCGATGACTGTGTGGGACAACTGGTAATGTTTGACGGAAGTCACCACTTGTAACAATAACAATGCCACCGAATGGAGAATTATTTTGTTTTATGTCTCGTAGGCAGCGGTCGACAGCTGAAAAGGCAAGTGTATGAACCATACTAATTTCATCCCAAATAAGCACTTGTATTGCTTTCATAGATCTACCGGCATTGTTATTAGGTGTTAAACCAGAAACAGATGTATCATTAATTGGAACTGGTAACTTAAAAGTTGTATGGGATGTTTGTCCATTGTGTAGTAGTGTGCTTGCAATGCCTGTCCATGCCATACAAACCACTTTTTTATTGTAGAACTCAAAATATTTTACCATTGTATTTAATAAATATGTTTTGCCAGTACCACCAGGGCCATCAATAAAAATAAAACGATTGGTATCGGTCGGGCACTCGACAATATTAACAATTTCATTGAATATAGTTAATTGTTCAACATTCAAGTTTGCAATATAATGGTAAATTTCTGTATATGAATGGTTGCAATTTGGTATTGGTTGAATTGAGGTATTTAGGATTGGGATAGGTAAATTGTATGATTGATTTGTTTTACCATGTATTTTCATTCTTGAGTTAATGTCTATTAGAGCAAGTTTATATCTGCATACAATATTTGTTCTACTAAAATCTTCAGAAAGCTGATCCTTAAAAACATCCCAAAGATATGGTGGGTCTTGTGGATTGCAAAAAATACATATGAAAGTAAAGAGTTGACGCAATTGTGTAGGCATTTGAAAATTACATGCTTCTTGTAAACAATTATACCACTCGTTGTCATCATCAAGAAGACTCATAGCAATAGTAGTTTGTTGAAAGCTTCGGTAAGTTACATCATTAACTGTTTTAATATTGTCGAAGGATGTTGCTCCTCTTTTATGAAGAAGAATAATACGTAAATGGTACAACTCGGTATTTAGAGGAGATACTGAGTATAGTCGAGGAATAACCTTTTTTTTTTTTCGACGTTGCCATACATTAACAGATTTATTGAAAACATAATGTAAAGGTATTTCAACGTAGGTATATTGTCTTGCATTCAGATCATGAATATTGAGTTCGAACCATTTTGTTAGCATTGTTCCATTACGTGCTGCTCTTTGCAAAGCATTGTGCTCCGAGCCTTCTGTAAAATACACATTTTGGAAGTCAGGAAGATGTACGGGCAGACATATTATAGGGTGTGAGCGTCCATGCATTTTAAATTTAAATATCCTCCAAATAGCTTCCGGTGCTGAAATGTATCGAGTATTTATAAAATTCGTGATTTCATCCCAGTTTAATACGTTTGCAGATTGAGTAGCTGTTTGGACTTGAATGGTTGCACAATCATATCCTTTATAAACATATTGAAAAAGATACTTAATACTTTTAATTGATGCACATATTTCTATATTTATATGGGCCTTGTATTTTTTACATAAATATTTATTATATGGGACAATCCATCTGTTATCAATTGGAACATCATTTTTAAGGAAGGTGCGACCATTGTTTGGCCTAAAATATTCTGGGTATCCATCCACACAGTATGTAGTCCCGTCATTGAAGTTTTTGGGATAGTTTTTGGAGCATTTTTTGTTTTCCATACATGGACTTTGAGAATTTAGTAATCCACATGGACCATGTATCATATGTGATGTGATTATTTCAAATAGTTCGGGCTCTGATAAAGGGTCAGGTAATTGAGCAGATACATATTGGTCAATAGTATCACGGTCTTTAATTTTACTTTCATTATCTAATATGCCTAGGAAATGACAATGTGGCAAACCTCTTTTTTGGAACTCAATGACATATATAAATGCAATACATCTTCCAAAGATATTATTTTGTGTAATATCATAGAGAAAATATTTTAGCTTCATGTTAAAAACCCTAGCAACTAAATCAGGTCGATCTTCAGGTCCTTCATTAGGGTGTAGATTTTGTAATATCTCAGGCCATTTAGGGTTGCAAGTGAAAGTTATGAAAATATCAGGTTTTGAGTGTTTTGTTACAATTGCCATAGCATCTTGGTAATTTTGTTACATAGCTCTGGGGCTTCCTGTAAAAGTAGAAGGTAAAATAACAATTTTTCCTGGTCGAGCATTTGCATCAGCAGCTTTTCCAGCAACATAATCCATCAAACCTGTATAAAAATCAACTCTCATATTTTTTTGATTAGATCTATAGTATTGTAAATTGTTGCTTTCAATTTTAACATAGGCATCTACAATATATTGTTGGGTGAGTTTTCCAGCATGTAAAATTTGGTCATATGTAATTGTAGAGGTTGATAATGTTGAATCTCTTTTGGACAAACGATAAGCATAATATTGAAGGAGTGTTACATGCTTGTTAGAAGAAAGCTTGTCATGCCAAGCTCTATCTCCATATGGAAAAAGTAATGGATAAACCATAGGATCACAATTAGCATTTAAAATAGATATATGTTGTGGTTCTGATGATTTTGGATGACTACATATTTCACGGTCAAAAGGTGGCACACCATCTTCACTTTGGAAAACTATTGCAACATCATTAGTTTGTGGAGTATTATATCGACGATGGTCTGTGCCTTCATTTTTAATAAGCATATAAACTCCACGTAAATTGCTACCAGAAATAATAGTTCTTGAAATATTTTCCTGTTCCAATTCATACATCATTCTAAAAGCTTGTGCATATGGATTAATATATCGAAGTATCGTATCTAGTTGAAGTAGTAAATTATAATCACAGTTAATGTTAAAAGGGTTTTGTTTTCTGATATCAGTAGCCTCATTGGAGTCTAGCATGTACAATTGACTGTAGCTTGGATTTTGATGTACTGAAGGATGTTGTGGCATAATTTTGTGATAGATTTGTCCATGAATTCTATAGCAGTATGGACCATGACCCGTAAAAGTATCAATGCTAGCTCCCATAGACGCAAAAGCAAGTGCACTATTATATTGTCTTATATTACTCTTGAAATTAGAGTGTTTGTGTGAGTTATATACAGAATACAGAAAAGGTGGTAATGGAAGTATTGGAGGCAGGTAGACTTGTCCACTCTGGCAACAAATAGACTTGTTCTCATCGGCAAAGTGTGAGGCATGACAATATTTACAAATATATGATAAGGGGCCTATATTCAATGTCAAAATAGATGTATCATTATATAGGTAATTGCTAGCAAGTCTGTTGCGAATCTGAGGTGAAGGGGGCAAATAGGAATTGGAAATTGACTGCTGTTCAGTGTGATTATTAAGATTTGTTTGATGTCGATACTCTGTATCCTCTTGAATATTAGTGTTGTAAAAGCTATATGTATGCTGGTGCTGGTTAGTGGCTTCAACATTATCATTGTACGTGGGATGTGTATGTCTGTGTCGAATAGCATTCAGTACATGTCGAAGGCGTGACATTATTTTCAACAGTTTCTTTTGGAAATGGAGATCAGATATTAGGGCAGATAGAAAGGAAAAGATATTTACTGAGGGTTATGGACAGCATAAAAACTAACCTTTTCGATGCAATCGGGTGATGCCAAAAAAGAGCAGATTGACGTGTGTTACCTTATACAGTGTCTTCTCGCAAGACTTACAATTTTTTCTAGCTCAATTCTATGCACCACAAATACCTTGCTTTGATGGAACTCCTCACAAATAACAACTTACGATGGGGTTCTCAGGAGCAAAGACACCAGCATTGACAGAGCGCCTCCGATTTGGATCGTGAATCAGCAGCAGCAGCAGGGGCTCTCTCGCCGTCTCAAAAACCCTAGAAAAACATACAAAACAAAACCAAGCTGGATCACGACACGATCAAGCTCGAATCCCAGCCAGCAGCAACGATTTGGGAGTGGATTTGCTTACCCACGGGAGGAAATCGCGATCCACAGCACGCTCCACTTGATCCTGCCCGATCCACAGCACGCTCCAAGGGCCGCGACGGACTTGATGCTGCCCGGAGTGACGCGTGGAGCAGCAATCTCCGGTCAACACTTTGCATGTGCCACGTGTTGCTGGGCCTTTCTCCCGCCACACACGGCTTGGCCGCCTCCCATTGGCCGGGAGCAAACATCAGCGCGATTATTCACTAACACGTGGTTAAAGAAATAACCTTTACAGTTACCCCCCATAGGTTATCATGAGATTTAGCAAAAAAAGTGTGACGGATTGGATCTGGCGCTTTTGGGTGAGCGGGATTTCTAGGGCATTGCGAGGTGTCGTCGCCCTAGCTACAGCGGTGTCAGGCTTGTCGCCATAGCTCAAGAATCTGGAGTTTGAGGCCGCCGCTCGAATCGCTGTGCACATCAAGGAGAGTGGACGCGCTGCTGCTGGAAAAGACCGATGGCTTCTAGCGTGGTAAGAAAAAGTTCCATGTAACTGATTCGGGTCAGGCTTGATACTAAACTGCACCTTCAGCGCAGCAAGAGGTATCTCTTGTTTTGTTTTCTCTTCTTTATAACCGCAGCCCTCGTTCTAGCTCGCAGGAATGAAAGTGGTGGTTGTTTTTGATGCAAAGGAATCGGGTCTGCCATCACACAGAGAATCCAGAGCAAGGTAGACTCCACTCGACTTCTTTCTATTCCTTTTGGTTTCTTTTTTTGTCCTCTGGGATTTGATTACGCTTTGTTTCTGCAGTGTTGACATCGTGTTTGCGGCCGACGCTTGCGCCGATTCATGGATCAAGCGTGAGGTACTTTAGATGATTCCTGCATCATGGCTACATAAATTTCTGCTTTGATTGATATCTTTCGGCAGGTCTACTTGTTGAGAGACGACGGCTGCCCCAAGATCAGAGTCATAACGTCCGATTCCCTTCATCAGCAGGTTGCAAACGGCGCGGTAAATTCGTGAAAGTCAGAGAACAAAACAATGGCTTATTTTCTGCAAAGATTCTTACTGGTTTTATTCTCGGGTCTTTGACAGGGTGCGTATGTATGGAGCTGCAAAGGTTTGATTGGAGAGCTTTTTAAGTTCCTGAGCGTTTCAGTTTGCTTGTTTAGATCAAGGACGTGAGGAAAGAATTGGAGCAGCTGTTACATTCCGACAGGTGATGTTACATTACAGCTGAGCCTTCACTGCCAATCATGGCATCCATAGCAAGTGTAGCTCTTGGTCCGCCCATGTCATCTTCTTCAAGACCAAGTGCCAGGTACTGCGAGAAAACAGGTAAATCGCTTGGGACAACTGGGAGTCCCAAGCGAGGAGATCACAGGTCTTGTGTATTTACAGCAACGAATTTAATCGATTGTTTTTCTCATCTCCAGGGATATAGAGATTGTTTTGGAGAGGATTGTCTATCCAGTCAGCCCCTGGTCAAGGTTATGATTTTTATGACCAGGCTTTTCAGTTCGCCCAAACTTTTGATTTATGTCCAGGCTATGGTTGACATTTGTGAGATTGGAAATACGGTACCGGGAGAATTCAAGAGCCCTGAGGAAGAAATTCGAGACTCTAGGCTGAATTACACAGAGGACGAAGAGCTCGAGCAGCTAATACATGGAAATGTCTGCATGGTCGATTATCCTGGTGAAGGTACTTCGAAATTTGCTCAGTGGTTAGTTTTTTCATAAGTTGTGATACAGGTAGCAAAGACTGTAGAATCGGCAGAAGGGTCGTTCTTTCCGGTGATTTTAATCCATTGCATGAAGGTCATCTTACATTGATGAGCACGGCATGCACGTAAGTTTCCTGAAAAAAAATGTTTTTGTTGGTCTAACGCAAGTTACAGCCTTGTGCAAGGCAGCAATCCAGGAAGCTCTGGATGTGGCGGACGATGCCTTTCAAGCCCAGCTTCGTGACATGATGACGTTGCTGGCCTGCCGCAAGCAGTGGGGCAGTGCAGCGATTGGGAAGCTCGCATTCCAGAGAGTCTTGCAAGAGACTTTGAGGTTGTAATAAAAACAACTATGCAGCAAGCTTATAGACAATACATTTTCTGTACATAGACAATACAAACAGAAAATGAAAGCACACGGGAACAGGAAATGAAAGCACACTGGAACAGGAAATAAAAGTGAACGGTACTCTAATCAGCCTTGAATGCAATAACTTTTGGTGAGCTTTGATCGGCACCAGTCGAAAATAAGAAGTGGCCTGTTGGTGGCTTCTTTGTCTCCAAAAGTTTGATTGCCTCAGGCATTCGAGTCGAGGTGAACATTCTTAGAAACTGGCCAGGAGTGAGACCATATGCTTGGTCTATATAAGTGTCCTCCATGCAAACATCTTGGGGGTGGCCAGTATCTGGATAGAATTTGCCATGGACCCGCAAAGTTTGAAAAAACGTTCATTCGTTCTTGCAATGGTGGCACCAACCAATATCTCGCGTTTGTTTCTCGACCCTAAACTTTTTGCAAACATGGCAGCCGCAACAAACAGAGATTGCTCGAGGGTTTTCAGGGATGAAATGGCCATGCACCTATTGATAAAACATGTGTTCTGAACGGCTGGTATACATCAAGAGAGACGTACCCCAAAGAAGTTCTTTCCATATATGAATGAGACAGAGTGCAACTGCTTTTGTATATGATCCCAAGGTGTATCGTCAGGAATTTTCAAGACAATAGTCGAGGGTGCAATCCTGAACACATTTTTATCTTTAGTTCCTCGGAGATTGTAGAAAATACGACTTGGCATGTCCCCAGCAAACCATGATGATTTGAGCTCATGATAGACATGGTCCATATCACCCAGCACATGCACCTATATTTGAAGTTCACCAAAAAATCTAGTCAAAATATTACAAATACCTTATAGGTGTTTTCAGCTTCAGGATCATCAGCAATGAATATGATGTTTGTAGTGTTAGGCGTTTGATCTACACCAGTGATTGCCGCAGCAACCGTTGAAGAAGTATAAGCAGAAGCATCCACTGCAAAGTGACTCAGTGGAACAATGTCTGATGGTCTGACAAAATCAAGCACTGGAGGAGCCTTCTCTGGCCATGCTCGAACATGTGTGGCCATAGAAATATCTACTGAGAGACGATGGAGCCCCAAATGATACTTCGGATTTTTAGCTCTGACTTTGTAGTGTTGAATACACAGCCAGTTAGATGGCTTGAAAAGGTGGCTGTATTTGTCAGCAGCGTTGGCTGCCATTGAAGCTGTCGCAAGGTGCATGCCGTAGCTGTCAGTGAAATCGATATTAAGGAACCTTGATGTTGATGCCATGCTTGTTGAGTGGATCTCATGTTGGAAATCATAACTGCCGTACCGAGATAATACATATATAAGAAGCGGCTCACCACCTGAATGGAGCTGTAGATCCGCGATATGAACACATGCATATTGTGTTTCCTCAGAAGAAGCAATCATATTCCATACGCCAGGGTCTTGAATGCTATATAATTTGCGCTTAGCTAAAAAAGCCCGTTACAAACCCATAACTATAAAAAAAATTCTAAAATTGAGTAGTACCTCCTATAATCCCACGGGGCACTTGGCTAGAAGTTTGTGTCTGAGCACCTGGATCTGGCCACAGAGAAGGTTTATGGAGCAAAAAAGCCAAGTGCCAGTACCTGCTAAAATAGCAAAGGGACTTTGGAAATGTAACGGCTGTACCGGCTGTTTAAAGTCTTCTTGTACACCTATTTGTTAAGCTGTAAAGCACTGTATTGGAATAGACTAAGTACCTGAAGCACTAAGCTGTGTAAGGTGCTCAGATCCTGGAAAGAAAAGTGATTCAATTCTGGTTTATCAAGATAAACACAAACCTGGTTCACTGCTCTCTCCACCCATCTCTACATCACCTAGAACTTGTTGCTGCTGTGAAGAAACATCATCTGGCGATGGCTGGTAATTGTAATCTACATGATCTTGAGACCCCACATCAGAATCGCTAGCTGCCGCTGCCATCGGAGAGGGCAATCCTGAACGAAGCAATTGATTAACTTTGGGTTAATCACAACCGTTGGCCCAAAGGCCTGCTTAATTATTGCCACGTCATTAGGCACATGCAAAACTCGCAATAACTATTTCGCTCGATGAAGGCGTCCAAAATGTATTCTAGCTTCTTATCTTCAGTGGGAGCATCAGCAGATGATGACGATGAGAGGCAGATGATCGTCGTGGATGGCTGGCTGGAGTTTGAGGCCGCGGCTCGAATCGCTGTGCACATCAAGGAGAGTGGACGCGCTGCTGCTGGAAAAGACCGATGGAAGAGTCCGAGTACTGGCCTCAACGTGACCAATCCTTGCAGCCAACTTCTCAATCTTCCAATTCTCGTTTCTTCGACGTATGCTTCTGCCACTTCAGGCCTTCATCGTGCTGAGAAGCTCGAGTGGGAGCACACAAAAATAGAGCTTGAGGAGTGACTTGCAAAGCCTCCTTCTTGTCGCATGTAGCGTCCATTTGATCCGTCAAACCTCTTGAGCTCGGTGCTCCACGGCAACTGACTTGTCCAACTGTGCTCTCTGATCCCTCGGTGCCTCAGCCTTCATCCTTCGGAGCTCCTCGTTCAGTCTCCCCAAAGCTTTCCTTTGCATTCGGCACGTCTCTCTCTCCTCGAGCGCCTTGAGCCCTGTGATCCTCTCCATCAGCTGCCATTTACTTGCTTCTCCAGGCTTGCCTTTGCGCTTCCAAACTCTGCCATCCTCTTCTCAACGTGCTCCTGGCCGAGAGCTCCACCTCGTGCAGCGGATTCGACTCCGTCAGCCATTATCCCCTGGGGTTCCTCTCCGAACACTTCCCTCATTCCACCAGATGACAGAGAACGTCTAGCATACTCTGTCTTATAGTCTCCGCAGCCATCTGAAACCCCGGTCATGAGCAGCTTCAGCTATATTGTCTTCTCGCCATCTTGCAGCCATCTGGCACTGGTTTACGTCATTCCTCACTACTATCATAGACAACCTTACCGGATCCAACTTCTGGATTTGACTCTTGAAAGTTGGCTTCTCCGATGCTAGAGTCCGAGCACTGGCCTCCAGTTGACCAATCCTTGCAGCCAACTTCTCGAGCTTGGAGACAACTTCATTTCTCGTTTCTTCGACGTGCTTAGAACAGTTTGCTCATGTTCTCTTCTCAGGTAAACCCAGGGTCTAGTCGTCTTAGAGTTCGCTCCAGCCCGGCCAATCATCTTCTCGCCATCATGGTTCCAACAAAACAACACTCATCGTTACTCCAACTCGCTACAACAAACACGGAAGTTATTAGCAAACGGCCATCTGGAATCTGGAAGGTATATCAAACTTACCTGTCTCCTCTTGAATTCGGCAACAAAATCTCTCCCCACACGATCATATAGTTTTTTTGCCTCCACGAAGACCACCTCACCGGACTGACTTCCACGGTTTCCTCTCACTCGGGATCCTATCCAGCATTTTCTGGAGCCTCATCATCTTCCGCACTCGCTTGATCCTCTCTCGGTCGCTGGATTTGCCGTTGAGCTCCTTGTAAAGCTGCTCGGTGAGTCTGATCAGAATCCGGCGATTTGGATCGTGAATCAGCAGCAGCGGCAGGGGCTCTCTCGCCGTCTCAAAAACCCTAGAAAAACATACAAAACAAAACCAAGCTGGATCACGACACGATCAAGCTCGAATCCCAGCCAGCAGCAACGATTTGGGAGTGGATTTGCTTACCCACCGGAGGAAATCGCGATCCACAGCACGCTCCAAGGGCCGCGACCCACTTGATCCTGCCCGGAGTGACGCCCTGGAACAGCAATCCCCGGTCAACACTTTGCATGTGCCATGCGTCGCCGGGCCTTCCTCTCCTGCCCCACGCGGCTTGGCCGCCTCCCATTGGCCGGGAGCAAACATCAGCGCGATTATTCTCAAACACGTGGTCAAAGAAATAACCCCTTTACAGTTACCCCCCCATCGGACGGCTGTGATTGGCTGGATCCGGCGGCCCACAAAGTTCGGCGTTTGCTCCTTATAGTAGTAGACTAGCAATTGCCCAACAAATGCTGGGTGGTTGGCAAATTTGATGCCATTTGAAGAGGTTTTCTAAGCTTAGCTATGTTTGTTGTTTGATCAACTCCACAATTGAAAGACATTCTCATAACCAAATGTGTTATGAGCATTATATAAGCTAGATTAGATAACTGTTGAGTTGCATTCCTCCATTTTGAACACAAAAAGCCCAAAGAATAGTTCCAAGTCCATCTTTGGTGCAAGTGTTGGTACTTGCTTCTCAGCCTGCTAGAGAGGTTCCTGGGATGAGTGAGAAACCATTATATTGCAATGAGAGCTGCACTCAAAAAGCAATAGGATGAAAACTGTACCTCTACCATTAGCAACTAAATAGCACATGCCATAACCAAAATGGGACAGCACCCAAGGCACACTTGTCAATGCCAGCTTTGTTGTGGTGTGCATTTGAAACTCACAACTTCATGGTTGGATATAGAATTGTGCCATATTTTTGTCAGTCTACTTAAGAATTTCAGCATAGACTGTATTCACAGTGTAAAAGTGTTGATCATGTGGTATAAGATTGCCTTGAAGGGGGGTTGCAAGCACTTGAACACGAAGTTGTTCAGGTGATCTACACCTTGACAGAGCAACATAAAGTTGACCATGTGTGAAAACAGGTTGGGGGAGGTAAATGCCAACACGGTCAAAAGTTTGGCCTTGGGCTTTAGAAATAGTTAAGCAATAACCCAGATGAACTGGGAATTGTCTTCGAGACATCTTGAAAGGGATTTCAACATCAGAAGGTGTAAGGGTAATACGTGGAATAAAAACTCGAGATCCCTTGAATTGTCTCGTGATAATTTCACAATCTAAAACGTTTTGAGATGCTTGCTTGAGAATGAGGCAAGTGCCATTGCATAAACCAATTTGTGGAGATATGTTCCTAAGAAGAATCAAAATCACATTTTGTTTTAGAATTAATTTGTGTGGTGGTAGTCCCGATGGGGTGATTGAATTTAAGAATTCAATTGGGAACTCTTCAGGGTGATCTGAGTCAACCGTGTCAATGCTCAAATAAACATATGGATCACCTAGTAATCTTTCAACAATGTCATTATTTATTCTGAATGTGTCGTCATTGAGTGGGGTGAGAATAACCTTTGATGCAGCTGTATAAGTATTTATAATATCATCGGTATTTGGGAAAACAAAGTTTACAACAGATGTAGTGATAGATAATGCATGTGGTATTTTGATAATATCTGGTGGGAGACATGGCAGCTGTAAACTACTATCACCATTGCCAAGTTTGAGAAGCCATTCAGAAAAACAAAGATTGTTTGAACGTATATTCTTTGTTAATGTTAGTGTTGTAAAGAGTGACCATAGTCTATTCATTTTAACTGAGCTTGAAATAATAGAGGTTCTATGGCCATGGGGAACAACAGGAAGGGTTTGACGAAAGTCACCACTTGTAATCACTATAACGCCTCCAAATGGTTTAGAATTACATTTGAGATGTTTTAAACATTTATCAACCACAGAGAAAGCATGTGTATGAACCATACTAATTTCATCCCATATGAGAACATTTGCTTGTTTAATGGTTTTTCCAGCATCACTATTAATTGTTAAAGCAGAGACAGAAGTTTCATTTAAAGGAACAGGAAGTTTAAAAGTCATATGTGCCGTTTGACCATATTTTAGCAAAATGCTTGCAATCCCAGTCCATGCCATACTGATTACTTTTATTTTTTTTAATTGTAATGCTATAATGATAGTATTAAGTAGAAAAGTTTTTCCAGTACCACCAGGTCCATCAATAAAGAAACATTGATGCTGGTTAGTATCAATGGCATTTATAATGAGTTCAAAAATATATAACTGAATTGATTTATGTTTGCATTTATTTGGTCTTGTGATGGGTCAGGGATCTCTGTATTAAGCATGTGTTTGATAATGGGAGTAAGAGTTGAGAGTGGTAAACCAAAATCACAATTAGATTTATTGTGTAGTTGGAATTTTGAATTAATATCGACTAAAGCAATGTCAAAATAGTTTATGTCATTTCTAGCATAATCCTCAGACATATCAATTTTGAATTGATCCCATAATAGATTTGGGTCTTTTGGTGAACAATACAAACAAATAAAAACAAATAACTGTCTTAATTGGGATGGCATTTTAAAAGTAGAAGCTTCTTGCATGCAGTGTTGCCATTCTGAATCATCTGCTAAATGTCCCATTGCCATAGCTGCTTGTTTAAAAGAGGAGAAAGTAACACCTTCGACAGTACATATATCCTCAAATGATATAGCACCTTTTTTATAGAGTAATATAAGCCGTAAGTGGTATAACTCACTATTAGAAGGAGATATGGAATACATTCTTGGTATGAGTTTAGCTTTTCGCTGGCGTAATTGCCATTTATGAGAGGATTTGTTATATGTGTAATGTAATGGAATTTGAGCATATGTATATTGCCTTGCATTAGTATCTTGCATGTTTAAATTGAACCATTGTGTAAGCATTGTTCCATTTTGAGTGGCTTTTTCTAGTGCTTCTTGTTCATGACCTGGTCTGAAATAAACGTTTTGAAAATTGGGTAAATGAACTGGAAGGCGTATAATAGTTAGTGATTTATCATGCATATGAAACTTAAATATACGCCACATGCTTCAGGAGCAGAAATATATCGAGCATCGACAAAACTTGAGATTTCGTCCCAATTTAAAGTCCCTCGTTCTTCAGATGCAGTTAAGAATTCTAATGTTGCACAGTCATAACCTTTGTATACATATTGAAATAAATATTTAATACTTTTAATAGAAGCGCAGATCTCTACATTGATGTGTGCTTGATATTTCTTACAAAGGTATTTATTATAAGGAACAACCCATCTGTTGTCAATAGTACAACCATTTTTTATGAAAGTGCGCCCGTTATTGGGACGGTAGTAATCAGGATAACCATCAACACAATAAATGGTTTCAACATTAAATTCTTTTGGATAATTCTTAGAGCATTTGTTATTTTCTATGCAAGGGCTTCTAGGATTTAAATAACCACATGGACCATGTATCATATGATTTATAATTATATTATGCAATTCTGGTTCTAACAGTGGGTGTGGCAACTGTGCAGTGACAAATTCATCAACTGAGTCTCGATTTCTTATCTTATCTTCGCTTGATAACATTGCTAAAAAATGACAATGAGGCAAACCTCTTTTCTGGAATTCAATAACATAAACATATGCAATGCACTTCCCAAAAATTCCTTTGATACTTATGTCATGTAGGAATTCTTTAAGCTTTAAGTTGAAAACTCTTGAAATAAGATCAGGTCGATCCTCAGGTGATTCATTCAGCTGTAAGTTTTGCACAATTTCAGGCCACTTTGGGTTGCATGTAAATGTAATAAATAAGTCAGGTTTTCCAAAATGTGTGACAATAGCAATAGCATCTTGATAATGTTGTTGCATTGCTCGTGGGCTACCAGGAAATGTAGAAGGCAAAATTACAATTTTTCCAGGTTCAGCATTATTAGTAGCAGCTCTATTGCTAACATAGTCCATAAGACCTGTGTAGTAATCCACTTTTAAGTGTTTTTGATGAGTGCGAAAGAAATTAAGGTTGTTAGATTCAACCTTTACATAAGCATCAACTATAAATTGTTGAGTGAGTTTCCCAGCATGTAGCAATTGATCATAAAGGAAAGAGTTGCCAATGCTATCTCGTTGAGATAATCGATATGCATAGTACTGGAGTAGCGTTACATGTGACTCATTGTGATAGATTTTTTCATGCCAACCTTTATCACCAAATGGTAAAAGTAAAGGATAAACTATAGGATCACAATTTTCATTAAGAATAGAGATTTTAATTGGCTGTGAGTTATATGGATGTATGCATATTTCTCTGTCAAGAGATGGCTCACCCTCATCAATAGCGAAAACAATAGCAACATCATTAATCTGTGGCAAATTATAACGATGTAGATTAGTACTTTCACTTCTAACAATCATGTAAACACCACGTTTTGGGGTTCCATTGCAAATTGAGCGATGTTGTTCTTGTGATTCAAGATTATACATCATTTGAAAAGCTTGTGCATACGGGTTTATTATTCTTAGCAAGTTATCTAATTGTAATAATAAATTAGAATCACAATTTGTGTTGAATGGGTTTTGCTTTCTAATATTTGTAGCCTCAGAAGCGTCAAGCATGTAAAGTTGCCCATATGATGGTGGCACGTTAGCTGCAGGATATGCTGAAGCAATTTTGTGATAAATTTGACCATGTATTCTAAAGCAATATGGGCCTTTACCACTTAAATTATCAATATTAGCACCCATTGATGCAAAAGCCAAAGCATTGTTGAAATTTCTTATGTTAATTTTAAAATTGGAGTTTCTATTTTCATTAAAAAGCATACGCAATATAGTAGGTAAAGATGAAAGCTGGGGAAGAGAAACCTTTCCATTCTGGCAGCACATTGATCTTGACTCATTTTCAAAATGTAATGCACCACAAAAGACACACACGGATGACATATTTCCAATATTAAACAGTTGTACTGTATGGTCATTATAATTCTTTTGATGTGCTAATTTATAGATAGTATAACTGTGATGATTACATGTATTTGTATTAGTTTCATTAGCATTTTCAAGGTTTATATTTGTATGGCCTTCATCAGCATATGCTATGTTTGTATTAGCATTGTCAAGATTTGAAGTAATTTTTGCATTAGCATGTTCAAGGTCTAGATTAGTTTCTTCATTACCATATGCAAGGTTGTTGTGAATATGATTATATGTGCTAGTGTCAATAGTTGGAGGCAAATGGTGACGTATGCCTCTTAATACTTCGCGAAGCCGAGGCATATTTGCTAGGGATGATAAATGAGATGAAATAACCTATCTAGTGTCAAAGCACTTATCTTAAAATTTTCAGAGATTCTAAGTAAAAGCCAGAACTCGCCTTCTTCTTACACTGGAAAAAAAATTTAAAAAAAATAAAAACGAAGACTATACAATGAGAGCACAATCCGTACACACCTTAATCTGTAAACAAAAGAGACTAATCTAGCAACCAATAAAACCTAGACACAGGACTGACACACCTTTTCCAGGGTGTGGTGAGCAACTGTGAGAGGTGGGTGGGGTTTGCAAGTTAGAGAACTCACCTTGGGCTTGTTCTCTCTCACATCTGATGGTTCTGGCTGTGAAGGCTGGCTCTGGCTTCAGCTCTGCCACTGGATAGCATCCACAAACCCAAATGAAGACGTTTCAAATTTTCACAGCACACAAAAATCCAGATTGTTGGGGTTAGGGGCCAAATTAGCGGCTGCCCAGCCGACGGTGAACACAGACCTTTGCGGGAAGAAGCGCAATTGCTGCGATTGCCACTGATCCGGCAAGCAAGCGTTAGCTCAATTGCGACAGGGCATCCAGGGCGAGCTAAGAAGAACGGGCACGGGGGCAGGACACCACTGGCACACGTGTCGCTGTGCCTTCTTCTCCCGCCCCACGCGGCTTGGCCGCCTCCCATTGGCCGGGAGCAAACATCAGCAAGTCTGTGAACAGCATCAGGTTATTCCGAGAGCCACCACCCGACGCCGCTGCCTCTGAATTCCCTCGCTCTCGCCTTTCGAGCTTTGTCGCTAAAGATCCTCGCAATGGCCTCAGCAATCTCCTCCCGCTTCACAAACGCGTCGGAGCTCCTCCCGTCCGAAACTTCCACCCCGATGCGGCACCTCTCCGCCATGGTCTTGCGGTTGAGCCCCTGCCTCGTATATCCGAGGCCAGCAGATGATCGGCACGCCGCTGGAGACGCTCTCCAGGACCGAGTTCCATCCGCAGTGGCTCACGAATCCAGCCACTGCCCTGTGCGCCAGAACTTCTCTCTGCGGCGCCCATGAAACCACCAGGCCTCGTCCCTTGGTCCGCTCGACCAAGTTCTTGTAGAAGTCACTGTTCTTCACCAGGACTGTCGTGTCGCCCTCGTCCACGAACTGGGGCGGCCTGACTGTGAGCAAGAACGGCACCTTGCTCGCCTCCAAACCGAGCGCGAGCTCCTCGAATTCCTCCTGCGAAAGCTTCGCTATGCTGCCGAATGCGACATAGAGGACTGAGTCTGGCTCCTGCGTGTCGAGCCAGTCGAGGCATTCAGAAGAACGGGCACGGGGGCAGGACACCACTGGCACACGTGTCGCTGTGCCTTCTTCTCCCGCCCCACGCGGCTTGGCCGCCTCCCATTGGCCGGGAGCAAACATCAGAAAAATTTCTCGTGCAACCATGGCTACCGACCCTGGCCCGGGCCTGGGATCCAACGGCCGGCGAGCCTCCCCACTATCGCTTTATATGTATAGATTCATTATATATTTTGTAAATTTCCGTGGTCTGCCCGGCGACGTGGCGCTCTTTCAAGAGCCCTAGAATTTCAAAATTGAGGGATTCTGCTACAGTGGTATAGTCTGGCTTATATATGGCTTTCAAACGCATATTCCGTTAAGCATGAAGATATTCTGTTATGGTTTTGTTTTGTCATAGATAAAATTACAACAAAACAATATAAGAATGAACATCCAAAATTTAGATCATTAGATCATTAGATCATTAGATCATTAGGTCATTAGATCAGTCCCACGACTAAATCATGGTAAGTTTTTAACTTCAATGCCCTTTCCTTGTCCTGCTGCGTCTGATTTTAGATTTGCAGATGATTTCCTAGCAGCGTCTGCCTGGAAGAGCTCCAGGTCCCAAGAGCACGTTCGGGACTGTCCGCTATGTGCTTGTTGCTGGTGGTGAGATTGTACCGTGTTACTGGTATTAACAAATATCCGTGAATTCGATTTCAGGCATTGCAACGGACTAGGATGAAACTTCTTCCTTGGAAATGAAAAATGTTGAGAGAAAGACACCAACACTAGAGGTACTTTTGAGCTCTATCTAGCATCTTTTCTAAATGTAAATCGTTTTATTGTCGGCTTTCTATCGAATCAATAGTAACACTTGCTTTAACTTTCTTGCTTTCCCAGCATTGGTTTCAGTTTGATATTTTAGTGTTGATCTTCATTGCGGAAAGTTTTCTTCTAATTCTCAGGCTGCTTTGACAAGTTCCTCCAGAGGGTAAGCTGCGTTCTAAGTAAGTTTTTTCAAAGAGTTTCTATCGATCTTATACTCACGGCATGCTTTGCAGTACCTGCTTCAGCTGAGGTAGCGTTTAGGGACATGCCAAGGACGTGATCTTCCTATCATGCAACTCAAATTATCCAGGTAACTCTCAAGTTTATCATGAGTCGAGAGACTGAGCCCTTTGTGTTTGACCAGTCCAGGGACAGGTGTGATCGCGGTCGCCACTTTCTCACGCTCCTCGTAGCAATTTCTTCCGAGCCAGAGTCCTGGAGATATGCTACAAACCAAGTACGAAGAGAGGCACACACCTTTACTTGGCTCATTCTCATGTCTATAACGACAAGTCCAGGTTTGATCCAGTTTCTTCTCACAAGATTTGCGTTTCCTGACCAGGATATCAGCAGTCCGAGAAATCTCTACTAGTTTTGGCGTGTGCGTATATTGTGACTGTGGCATTGTGTCTCTGGAGTAGCACTCTTGGAAGGCCGACGACGTCGCTACAGCCAATGACCACCACTTTCTTCATCTCAAGAAGCTAAGGTCCACGAAACTTGGCTGGAAATCATCGAGAGCCAGAGGCCATCCACATCTTTCTTGAGGCTTATGTCTTGGAGCACGGTTTCCAGCCGGATCTTCTGAAATAGGGGAAGAAAACGATGAAGAGAATACTAGTATTCAAGCTTCTGGTACGTGGTCGTTAGAAATTCTTCTGACACTTCATTCGTTTGCTGGAACTTTGGATGCGTGCCCTCGCAGTACAAGGACGAGCTCATTGGGAGTGCAGACGAGAGCCTGAAAGATCTTCTCGCAGTTCTCCTCCTCTCCAATCTTGTCTTCCCCGTTCACTGTATAAATCTGGGCCGTTAATTTATTTAAATCAAAGCTGTACATCTTAAAAGGATCTGAACCGTCGAATGTCAAACTGGTGACGTGTCATGTAACTGATGATGTGGCTAGGATTGTATGTGGGATTTTCCATGTGAACATCTATTTGGACCAGGATGATTTACCAAATCTATTTTAATGTAGCTCCCACACGCGATAAGAGTTTTCTGGGATCACCATGTTGATCTCACCGTGACAGCGGCTCAGAATTGGAGGCTTTTGATGGCAGCCAAGCCAACGTGGACCTGAAAACAGAGTTCTTTGGTCTACAACTCAGGATTCTGGCAAGCTCCACACTGGAAACGAGTTCCATGACGCGGAAACATTCGTCGCCTGGTTATCCATTGTTACTGACAGAGGCCGACCAATGACAAACTTGTCACGACCACAAAGCACCGGAGGATCATCACCGGTGTCGGTCGCGGGAGGAAGTCTCGTAGACCAGAAACCTGTCCCCGACTGCATGGACATTCCATTGCTTCTGTCCCCTGTGAAGATGGAGCTCACGCCTGTATTGCTTGTGACCCAGAATCGAACCCACATAGTTGCCTTCCTGCTCCTCGGGTGTGTAAGGCTGCTTCCCGAGCTGGTGTTGGAGTGCTACCCACTGCCCACTGATTCTATCCAGGCCTGCTTGAGGGTCTGCGCGAACAAAGCGTTCCTGCTCTCGACTTAGTCGCGGAAGAGGCGGCGGCCTCATCTTCCTACCATACTTCGTCTTCACGTAGAGATCGTCGTCACGGCACAGGTCTCTGATCGCAGCAATCTGTTCCTTCGTCCAGTAGAAGCGAGGAAGGGGCTGAAACTTGGCACCCATCTCAGATGCTAGCTAGCTAAACCCCTCGCCAAAAGAAAAACTTACCGAAAGCTCATCTTTTGACTAAAGAATGTTCCTTCTCTGCTAGAAAATACAATGGTTCAGAATCCGGACATGCAAGAGAAAGTACTTACAAAGAATCTATAGACAAGCGTTGGCCTGTAGTCGCAAGAGCCGCGATTCAGCAGCAGCACCAGCAGCTTGAGCCGGAGTTAAATCTCGGAAAGTATCAACCAGTGGGGGTGTTCTCTTTCGGTTCGTCCCAAGCTAGTAAGCTGTTCATGTCATTCGCTGAAAGAGGCTGCTCTTTTTGTTTCATTGGAAGGAGGTTCGTCTTCTGTTGGCTCATTTTGTAGATGTTCTCCTCCACGGTGTTACATATCTGGAAATGTCATCAGTAATTGGAAAACAGAAGAAACGTACGTAACTTACAATGAATCTATGTACAAGTGTCTTTAGACGTTGGCCAATCCTGTGGACTCGATTGATAGCCTGAGCTTCTACTGCCGGATTGAGCAAAGGCTCCACCAAAATAACGTGTTGGGCCTCTATTAAGTTCAGGCCATTGGCACCATGTTGAATGGGTAGTAACATGACTTGGATGTTCTCCTTCTTAAATTCCAAGATGGAAGAACCCATTTGTCTGTGAGAAACACAAAACGAGCACATGAGTAAAAGTAAAACAGATTATCGATGTTACCTGCGGTGCTTTAATCGAACCCAGCTGAGCTTGTGCTCTTCAGTGCGTGTTCTAATAAGTCCAGCACTTCTTGCCACGTCGAGAACACAAAAAATTTCACAAACGGATCGTCTTCTTTCAGACTAAAAATTCTCCTGACGACAGCTTCAATCTTCAAAGTTGCAAAAGAATTGAAGTAAAACGCAGACGACAAAGCGAGATTACCTTTGTTCCATACGACCCTGCCACGGTTATAGATGTTTCTTCGTCCTCTTCTTCTTCCTGGAGGTTTTCCGCAATTTTCGAAGAAGCCGCTTCAGCATTGGCATAAGCAATATTAGAGACATAAGTCTGTTGTCTCGTTGGACATGCAATGCGCTTAAAATCAGCACCGATCGCTGGTGCTTTCTGGCAGTCCACAATAAGATTCAAACCTGCGAAATAAAATGAAAATTTGCTCAGGAAACCAACAAAGTAAGACACCAAAACTTACACTTGCCACAAAGCAAATGGCCGCATGGAAGGACCATTGCTCCAGATTCTAAGCTATCGTGGCAAACTGGGCAAGTTTCTCCTTCCAAACTGTTATGGCCCTCGTCCTTCTTATTCCTTACACCCTGCAATCCGGAAATGAGAGGAGCTGCGAATAAAAGAAAACTTAAGCCTAATACCTTCAAGTATCTGAGCTGCCTCTTCACACGAGATAGATTCTCAACAGCAACAAATTTTTCGTTGGTAAGCTCCGCGTTTCTAATTGCTATCTCGTAGCCTTCATCACCAAAAGGATTGCCGTCTGCAGCCTTGGCACCTTGCAAACATAGCCTTGTTGTCGACATGCTCAGCTCGTCCAATGCAGTTAGAACTAATTGTTGTGCTGTTGTCAAGCGTCTCGCCGCTGCATATTCGCTACGCAATGCCTGAATTGACACGGTTTGTCAAACAGACTTACAAATAAGCACAGGAGTGTTTACTTCAAGGTACTCGAGATGCTTCTTTGCGGCTTCGATCTCATCCTCCTCAAGGTTCGTTTCCGCTATCATGTATGCAAGTAAAATTTTTAAAACCATTTCCGTTTCAGAACATCTGTGCGTAACCTGTGAAAAGAAATATTTAAGCTCGACGCAAAGAAAAACAAAAGAAAAAAGTTAGAAAAACAAAAAGAAGTTGCCTTACCGCAGCTACTGCTGCTCCTTTTCTCCTGCCTGTGAACGTACTTGAGAAACAAAGGCGTCTTCTGCAGCAACAATGCCATCTAATTCAGCTGCTCGGGACGTCAAGTAAAATCGCCTATTTGCATATTTCTGTTTATCCACTAGATTGTACCTGAAACATGAGATCAATCGCACAATGAACACAAGTTATCCCAGTGTGTCTAGGCTGGCACTGGGAACATTGTCCAGCGCGCTGCACATAATCGGGATTCGGATTCTGCATCCCGCCATCCATTTCAAGTAAGCGACTCAGTACGTGGTCACGAGTCTCATGGAGATAAGAACTTGAGGCCGTTAAGGTCGTGGTATCTACATGCTCACTAGAGTACCTTCCAAGAAAGATAAGGAAAACATACCTTAGAACAAGACTAGAAGCATTCCGAAAGGCAGGTTCAGTGTTCATGGCATCTCAGTCATCGCTCAACATCAGTTTGGGTGAGACAGTTGATCTGAGACTGCCAAGAACGCCAGAATTGAGAGCATCAGGCTCTATATACAACATTCAGCAATCCTTGCATGCCAGACGTATATACAACATTGGGAGCGGGTGTCTTCTGCGGCTTGGTCCTGCTACCAGGGGAACCTCGTTCTATGACTCGTCACCAACAGACACAACGATTGTGGCTTTCCCAACGTATACTATAAAGTCAACTAAACTACCATGTTAAAGTGGCCTTTACCATCAAAACCACTCAATATCGTTTTATATAGTGGTTGTAATTGAAGTATGGAATCTTGTGTGTGTATATACAAGACTGCTATTTGTTTGTTAATATACAAAACTAAGTAATGTCAAAGGTAGTAAAATAAAATGATATTTCAATACCAACTAAAATATTTAGGCCTATAATATAATAAAAATAATAATAATGCTAATAATAATATCAATAATAGAATTCAATGCATTGGTAAACTAAAATATATATTAATTGAATTAGATATAGTTTGTCATCTGCTATAAATGATACAAGCCCCATCTTGTTATATTGTAAATAGTTTCTAGAACAAGTGAGAATATAAAAAGTCTGTTTAAAATAATAAAATACTATTTTATAAAAAATGGTATAAAGTATATAAGCTAATAGTTTTACATTTAACAAAGAGTTATATATCTTTTTCTTTGAAATAAATTTTGATTTCTTGGAAAAATGAGTTTTTAACTTTAATTTTCTTTAAATTGAAAGATTGAGAAATATGCACAAAACTCTTGACCTTTGTGCCCTTTGCTACACAGTTTTCAATTTTTTTTATAATATGAGGCAACAGATGTTTAACCACATGATGCAAATCAAACAAATGTAGGTGTATGGGCTATCATTAATGGCTTGGAACTCCCAAAGAACTCTTAGCATGTGTGGAAGCTATATATAATATAGATTCAGGAAATCATCTTAATTCAAATAAACAAATTTAATTCTTCGGCATTTTGTGCATTGAGTTGAATTGTGTAGGATGGGATGACAATTAACTTGGGGTCCAAGGAGTTTGATGGCTACATTTTTTTACTTTCTAAACAATTTTCCCAAAAAATAAAGAATTGGCAAGTTTAATGAGCTCTCCCATTTAACTTTAGAACATGGTAATAGAGTATATTTGTGTAAGTTGAAATTTGTAAATGCTATATTTGTGTTCATTTCCATGACTTTTGTATTTTCCTAATAGAAGAGTGTATTGATAATGTTCTAGATTTAAAGTGCAAAGAAGTTTGATGTTATTTCTCTATCACCCACTAATTCTATAATTAGTAAAAAAAGTTATTTATTCAATATTGTTTTGCCTTAATAGATTGTATTTCCCACTAGTTTGGGAGTTATATATGTGTATTGTTTTTGCACATTTGTAAAAATTTAATAATTAATTATTTAAGATTTTCTGATAAATATTTACTTCTTTTAAATTTTTTATAAAATTTAAATTATAAATAAAATATATAAATTAATACTTTTATTAAATAAAATAATTTTTTTAAAGAAAAAAATTGCAATAATAGTGCTGATAAAATAAACACAACTAAATTATTAACAAAAAGCTTTATATGTATTTATATTAAAACTTAGCATTATAGTTAGACAAAAATTATTTTTACCAACTGATTTAATTGCAGATTACAAATTAGATTTCTTATATATTCAATAGGCTTTTCTATTCTCTTTTTTCTTAAAGTCAAAATTTTTGGGATTACTAATTATTTTAATGTCAATTTTTATGATTCTAGTTTAAAACTATTTTAAAATTATTTAATATTCAAATAATAATACTATATAATGTTTTTGTTGTAATTTAATACAAATTTTTTATTTAATTTATTGATTTGAAACTTTTAATTTTTATAATGTAATAAATTATTTTTAGATATTATACTATATAGGAGGAATAAATGCCAAGAAAGTTAAATATCTCTAGGGTTTAATATCTAATTTAAAGTTTATATCATATTGTTTTCCTGAACATTTTAATTATGGTTTTACATATCAGGAATCGCTTACCAAGTCAGAGCATCAAGAATCATACCAGATGAGGTGTGGACAAGTGTCCAGACACTTTCAAGTGTTTTGCTGTGCACACATTCCAAGCGAACTGCAAAAGAAGCTAGATCCTAAGCAGGCTACAGCAAGACTTAGAAGGCCTATTGACTTTACAGCTTGGACCAGAAGCAGCTACTGATCAGTTGAGATGTTGTTTTTGACGAGACAACTCTCTATAAGGATTATCTCTCGTCACGCACTCAAGGTACTCACTCTGATGAGCAAACTAATCCAGGATGGCTGCAGTTGCTAGAAGATGAGGAACCCCAGCTGCCAAAGTTTTTCCTCAACTTCCAATAACTCCTAGCACAAAGGCTAGCGATAGCTCTCCTCCAGACCACTTTCTTCCATGGTAAGTTTTCCAGGCGGCTCCTCCGTCTCCAAAAGCTTCAAGCTCTTCAAGCCCAGTGCTTCGGGTGCTTAAGCGTTTCCGACAAGTCACGCGATCAGGACGCAGAAGCTAATCCGCAGCTCAGCCGACTCCATCTGAGAGCTCTTCTTGTCCAAAACAGTAGCCATGGCTGACTCTGCTACAAAGATCTCCTTGATCTTTTGTACCAGAGTTCGAGATATCAGCCATGGCTACTGTCTGGGGTTCCAGGTGCTGAGAGATGAACGACAGGTATTCTTCACGTTGCTGAAATTCTCGGGTAAACACTTTGGAATATTTGCCTTTCTTTTTCTTTCTCTCTTGACTCATTTTTGGCTCTCTCCCTGGCTCAGGTTACGAGCAAACCTTTGGAAACAAGTTGAGGCAATTGAAGGCTGCCAAGCAGCACGCCTGGCCATGGCTCGACGAGGCTCTAGCTTTGCATTGCTCTAGCTTTTTCTTCATCCTTCTTTTTTATCTAGGATCCAGTCAATGTGGAGTCAGAGTGAGATAGCATTTATTCTTTCTGGTTTTTTCTCTCGGCCTGATGCTCGTGAGTTTCTCTTTCTCGCGTTTTCGCAATTGTGTTTATTTCCCTTGCCACGTGCCTGACACGTCATATACTTACGTGTCATATTTTGTCACATCCACGTGTACCTTGACGTTAGGGCTCTTCTGTTTCTTCGTTCTCTTCAAATTTTGATCGCGAAGATCAAAGAACAAGAAATTCTCCAATGCTTCCACACGATCATGCCAGTCTCGAGGAGGAGAAGCAGCACAGTGACGCTCGCGAGGAAACACTTGACGTTCTTCCGCCTCCACCTGGCCTACTTCATCGCCATCGCCATCGCCGGGACGTGGATCCTCTGGGGGATTGGAGCCCGCCGCCATAGCAAGATCTCCCACCTGAAATTCATCGACTGCTTCTACCTCATCACCTCCGCGCTCTGCATCACCGGCCTCGCCAGCGTCCCGATCGAGAGCATCCCCCCCGGCGGCCAAGTCGTGCTCATGCTGATGATGATCCTGGGCGGCCAGGTCGTCACCTCGGTGGTTCCACTCTTCGTCAAGAAGCGGCGCTACTGCGACGTCGCCAGGCAAGTCCTCGAGCAGGATGATCGCAAGCGGCCATCGTCGAGCTCTAATCCCGACAGTGATCGCGATCTCGTCCCCAATCCAAACGCCCAAGCTCCTCAAAATCGTGAAGACGATGCTACTCCTACTAGCGCTACCACACCCTCGAGCTCGCAAGGACCTCCAGGATCTCTTAAAAGAACGCAAAGCGGTGCTGTCCGGCTCTTGAGGAGATTGAGCGGCTCCATGAAGCTCCGCTCCAAGGAGGACGTCTGGATGCGCGAGATGGCGTCCAAAAAGCACGCCCAGCACTTGCGCGAGATCTTCCAAGAGCACAGCGCGACCGTGTCACTCACCTGGATCGTCGTCTGGTACTACATCCTCGTCCATCTCATCGGCTTCTTCATCACCTGGGGATGCATACTGGGCGATGCCAGCGCCAAGTCGAGCCTGGAGAGCAAGAACATCAACATCGGCTTCTTCGCGCTCTTCCTCACAGTCTCATCTTTCGCGAATGCCGGGTTCGTCCTCGTCGATGAAAACATGACCCTCTTCAGCTCCTCCACCGTGCTGCTGCTGGCGCTGGCGGCGATCATCCTCCTGGGCAACACCATGTTTGCGCCATCGCTGCGCGGGATCATCTGGCTGCTCCACCGAGTCGACGCCACCCGGCGCGAGGACTACGAGTTCCTGCTGGAGCACCCCAGGAAGTGCTACACGCACTTGTTCCCGCGGACCACCACCCTCTGGTTAGTTCTCGCCGTCACCGGGTTCAATGGGTTTGAGTGCCTCATGTTTTACATTTTGGACTGGAAAAGCAAGGCCTTGGAGGGTTTCGGCACAGGTGACAAGGTTGTCAATGGCATCTTTCAGTCTGTTAACACGCGGAGTGCAGGCATGAACTCCATGAACCTTGCAGATCTCTCGCCCTCAATGCTCTTCCTCTACTGCGGCATGATGTAAGTTACTATTACTCCCACCTATTTTTCTTCTTCCCGGCATTTTTAGAAGAGAGAGAAAAGGTGGCAGCTTGAGTTTACTGAGCGTGAGAATGCAATGGTTTTGCAGGTATATTGCTGCTTACCCGGTATTCCTCTCGCGGCAGTACTCACGACACTACGAAGCCAAAGAGCAGCGGGCTTCCGTGATTGTGGGGCTGGACCGGGACGTTTTGGACACCACAATCACGACCCAGTCCAAGAGATTGCTGGCTCAGGACTGGGCCTACCTCTTCCTCGCCACCTTTTTCATCTGCGTGTCGGACAACAAGCAGCTCAAAAGCGACCCCCGCAACTTCACCATCTTTAGCGTCATCTTCGAGGTCATAAGGTACGAAAACTCTTCGAGTTGCAAGACAAAATCTCTAAAACTTCGAAATTCATACAAGTTATCATCTAAGTTACAAAATCATCATCTCTCCTCTGATCAAGCTCACGAGTTTCTGATTTGATCGAACTTGCAGCGCGTACGGCAATGTCGGGCTGACGCTGGGCTACAGCTGCAGCCTGAGGATCGATTCGGCGCCATGCACGGACGTCCCGTACAGCTTCTCGGGCAAATGGGGCGTTGTTGGCAAGCTCTTGCTCATCCTGGTCATGTTTCTCGGCAGACACAGGGGTCTACCAGATAGCATCGACTCCGCGATCTTGCTCCCAGAGGATAAGTTCTACACCATGTTGCGGAGCCAGACCGTAGCACAACCCGATGGCTCCATCATGGTAATCGCACCACCGAGATCGGAATGTACAGATCTTGTTGATTTGTCGTGAAACAAAGATAAAGACGAGAACCTCTTTTCGGAAAGCTGCAGAACACCATCGGCAAAAAGAAGAAAAAAAAAGGAGCACATACCTTTGTGTACAGTCCTCTCGAGATTAAGATTCTTGCACACTTTAAGAGAAAATCGTGGAAGTCGTTTGGTTCTTGCTTGCTGATCGGATGGACGAAGGGCCAACGTATGCCACACTTGGTGCGAGGCCTGGAAGTGGGAAGATCAAAACAGAGTGAAAAGAAGGCTTTTTTACCTCCACTAAATGATGGAGAAAGTATTCGCTCGCTGTAGCCACGAACAGGATTACTCGATCCACACCACCGACGGGGGGGAGCATATAAGTTTCCTTCGCCGCAATGCTCGATCCACCACTCGTTGGGAGCAACACATCACGTTATGGAGTCAAAGTCTGATAGTAACTTGTGTTAATGCGCTCGCCAAGTCTTCTACTGACTTTGTAGGAGGTCTGAGTCGAGCGTTTTCGAGCGAGCGAGCGAGAGCTAAACTTCTCCATAGAATTTACCCCGCTGGCCTATTTAATCCCCTGTGCTTGAGAGTGTCCCCGCGCAACACTACCAGTGCTTGTACTGTATAGATTTTGTGGCCGATTCTCTATGATGAGCTGATGCGCAGCAGCTGGCGATGGATGTTTCAGCTGTTCTGCGGAGATTGGCGAAGAAGAGACCGAGTTACTACCACCTCCACGTCCTCTACTTCGTCGGCCTCAGCCTGCTCGGGGCTCTCCTCCTCCGGAGCTTTGGAACGAGAAAAGGATCCACGCATAACCACTTTAGCTTCCTGGACTGCTTCTACACGGCTGTGTCGGCGATGTGCCTCAGCGGACTCTCGAGTATTCAGATCGAGGACATTCCAGCGTCTGGCCAGGTGCTTGTCATGGTGCTGATGGTCCTGGGAGGCCAGGTTTTGTTATCGGTTGTCCCGCTGCTTGTCAAGAAGCACAGGTACTGCAAGATAGCCAGGATGGCGTTGAGGCCCCGAGTAAAGAGCAACAGCCTGTTTAAGTCGCTGTATAGAACTCTCTGCTTGCGATCCAATGACGACCTCTGGATGGAGTCCTTGGCTTCCAGGCCAAACCTTCCCGAGCCTTTCAAAGTTGTCTTCCTTGAGCACCAAGCCATTTGTCACCTAGCTGACATTGTTGTGTGGTACTTGCTGGCTGTTCACTTGCTCGGCTTCGTCGTCGCATGGATTTCCATCCAGTGCTCTTTAAACACCAAGTCAGTACTTGAGAGTAAGACAATCAACCCGGGCTTCTTCGCGCTCTTTGCAACCATCTCGGCTTTCAACAACATCGGCTTCGTGCTTACGAACGAAAACTTAGTCGCCTTCAACACGAACAGCGTTTTGCTTCTCGATCTCGGCCTCGTCATTCTGCTTGGTAACACCCTGTTCCCTGTTGCCTTGCGAGGAATTCTATGGCTGCTCTACCGCTACACCACAGGAACGAAGAAGGAAGTCTACACGCTCCTGCTAGAGCATCCCAGAAAATACTACTTACACCTGTTCCCCAAAACTGCAACGCTCTGGCTGTTACTGGCTGTCACAGGTTCCAATGCATTAGGAGGCCTCATCTTCTGCGCCCTGGACTGGAACAACGAGGCGCTCGATGGACTACGCCCTGGTGAAAAGCTTGTCAATGGTCTCTTCCAGTCGTTCAGTACGCGCAGTGGTGGTATGAACTCGTTGAACCTCGTGGAGCTCTCGCAAGCCACGCTCTTCTTCTACTGCGTTATGATGTGAGTCGTTATCTGCTGAAGAGATCGTCATTGTCTATATACTTTGCAGGTATATCAAGCCGTACCCTGTGTCGCTGAGAGAAGAACAGAGCAGAGAAGATGATACCACACTGTTGACACAGTCCAGACGAAACCTTGCCAACGACAACACCTTCCTGTTCCTTCTTGTGATCTTCAGCAGCATCTCTCTCAACAGCCAAATGGAAAAGGATCCCCGGAACTTCAACCTGTTCGCCATACTCTTCGAAGTTGCAAGGTTGGCCTTCGCTTTTTTTGTCCTGACATTTTCTCTCTCGCTGCTGTCTACACGTTCCTAAAGCTTTTCCCTGTTTTCGTCCCACATGCAGTGCCTACGGATGCGTCGGCTTGACTCTTGGATACAGCTGCAACTTGAGGCTCCAACCCGGCCATTGCAAGGACACCACGCTCAGCTTCTCAGGAACTTGGAACGCCCCAGGAAAAATGTTTATCATCGCTGTCATGTTCATTGGCCGCCACCGTGACCTTCCCTATCACATTGATTCCACAACCGACATGGAAAAAATAACCAGACTGTCGAGAAGGCCAAGCTTCATAGCTCTGACTCAGCCACCTGTTGTAGTACCAGAATCTACCCCTCCTGTTTGAAAGTCTTGCTAAAGTTGAGTCTTCCACATTTACATGCCCATACTGCTCCCTTTTTGTTGACCCCGCTGCCTAAGTAGTCCGTCACAAGTAGCGTGACGCTAATGCTTTTTCTGCTTGCAATGCCCACAACGACCCTTCGTAAGGTCGGGCATACTTGAAAAAGCTTTCAGCCATTCCCTGTGTAAAACGCAAAGCAGAAGAGAAAGCTAAGGTTTGAAAATACCACTTGATAAAAAATGTGCATACCAATCCATTCGCAGACACAGCCTCAGAACTTCCTTCAGAGAAAAAGGACTTAACTCCACTTTTATGCTGCAGAAAACAACAGATTCTAAATCCGCAAGCAGTACAGGAAAAGAAAATCTTACAGCGGCTCGCTTGGGTGGAGGCTGGTTCAAAATCTTCTGTGCTCTATTCAATCGATCGTTGTAGTATTCATACGTTGTGGCACCGGGAGGAGCTTGATTTGGATCCTTCACATTGTTCTCTACCTGGAAAAAGTGAGACAAGATGCGTCAACCGTAGCGAACTGTTTAAAGTTTCCGGGAAGAATCAAGAATAAAAATCATACCTGGGTTTTAAAACCTTTATAATGTGGCCAGGCACCTCGCGAGTACTGGTCAAGATCAAACAGTAGCATTTTCTGCTTGCAGCATGGCTTCTCATCATTGGCCGTGGCGCTTTGTGGATTGTGATCGGGAATATGGCCCATGTAACCAGGGATTGGATATTTCCCGACCTTCCGCCTGGAAACGAGAAATTTCAAGCACAGAAATGAAGAGAAGTGATTACCTTGGCACCCGATCCTTTTGCTTGCGGATTTCTTCCGCAATGTGCCCTGTCCGTATCCATCGTCCCTGGATCCTGCAAGACGCAGCCATCACAGCGCTAAATCCC